TCTGGCCTTCACCATATGACCAAACAAAACTTTCATTTTGTTTTTAAAGGACATTTTTCTTTAATGTTTATTTATTTAGAGAGAGAGCGCGCATGCGCGCATGCATATACACGAGCAGCGGAGGGGCAGAGACAGAGAGAGACAGAGGGAGACAGAGGGAGACGGAGAATACCAAGCAGACTCTGCGATGCCGGCGAGGAGCCTCACACAGACTCACGCACAAACTGTGAGATCGTGACCTGAGCTGAAACCAGGAGTAAGATGCTTAACCAACTGAGCCACCCAGGCACCCTCAAACAAAACTTTTAAATAGCTGAGTTCCATAGTCAATGGTATTAAGGAGTTACTGTTAATTGTCAAGCATGATAGTGGCATTGCGGTTGTCTTTTTAAGCCAACTTTTAGAGAGAGACAGATGAGATGAGATGAGATGAGATGAGATGAGATGAGATGAGATGAGATGATGTCTAGGATCTGCTTCAAAATAATCCACTGGAGGAGGGGAGAATGCATAGGAGCCTAGAGGAAGTAAGATTGGCCATATGGTGGTAATTGATAAAGCTGGACTGTGAATATATGAGGGTTTATTATATATAATCTACCTTTGCATATGTTTGAAAATGTCTATAATTTCTCGAAAACTCACAGAGCCTGAAAGTGTAAAATCTTAGCATTTCTCACTGCATTTCACAGTTGAGGAAGCTGAGGCTGGGAGCGGGGAAGGAACTCACTCGAGGTCTCATAGTGAGTTGGAGCCAAAATCTCCACTCTAAGGCCTGGTTCCCCTCAACTCCCACCGTGTCACAATGATGAGGGGACACCAGTCAGCCCTTCCCCAGAACATCTTTGTAGACCATCTTGCTCCCCACGTACAAGTTTAAGGCCATCACTGAAAGGATCGTGAGAATTTGAGAAACAGATGCTTCCCTTTTATCTCCTGTCTGGTTCGAAATGTAGTTGCCACATGTTCAGCTGGATAATTTATGCACAACCACATTATAAATGCCCAGGGGAAGCAGCCCAGGCTCTGAGGAGCAAGTGTCCTGACACAGACAGAGTACAGCTCTGGAGTCATTTATCGCCTTGTGCGAGTCAGTCCAGTGCACTATAATGTGCTTATGACTACACAGGTTTGGCGCCGGCCTGCCTGGATTTGAATCCTGTTTCCACCACATCCGAGCTGCGTTAGCTTGGGCAAGTTACTTAACCTCTCTGTGCCTCTGTGTCCTCACCTGTAAGCGAGAGACAATAGTCCTCATTGTGAGGACTAAGTTGGGCAATGCCGGGAATCTGGTATGTAATGTCCACACACAGTGGACGTTAAGTACTTAATTGATGTGAGCTGTTATATAACCTCAGGGAAGTTCTTAAACCTTTGTAAGCCTCGGTTTCCTCTTCTCTGAAGAGGGGGACAATAATAATCCCTACCTCTCAGGGTTGTTACAAGGATTAAATGAGATAATGTATGTTAGGTGCTTGGCACAGAGAAGAGTTCAAGAGATGTTTGTTTCCTTCCTTCTGGAATTGTCTTTCATGTCGGCAAGTTGCATGTCCGTCCTTTGGGGAAGCACAGTGTGATCTGAGAGTGTTCTGCAGGGCAGAAGCTTCCTGCCATTGCTCTGCCCGGCTCTGAGGTCTTTCTGGCTCGGAGACGGGTCAGCGCTGCGCCTCCCTGCAGCTGAGCGGCCTCTATGGGGCGGGCGGCTCCGGCGGGGCCGTCTGTTCCGCAGCAGGCCTGTTCGAGCCTGCTCTGCCCCTCTTGAGCTTTGGGTTGGGATGGTGACCACGAGTTCAACTGTGTTTGGTTTAACAAGGAATCTCACTTTCCCAAAATAGGCAACAAGTGGAGACATTGCCTCTGTCACACTGCCCCGCTGGGCGCTGACTCACTTTCCCCGGCCTCACTTTCTTTTCCAAAACCCGTGAGCTGCGCCCTGCCTGGCTCGCTCCGGTCTCCCGGGAGGGCAGACCTCAGTGGCAGATCCCAGCATGGTGCCAGCCTCCCGCACCTGCTCCCCTCCCTGCCTCCATCTGCTGGCTCCCCAGAGGTGCTCTGTCTCTCCAGCGCTTCCCCTCTGTCTTCTTTGGGCTTTCCTGTCAAGACAGGCTTCTGACCCTTGAGCCTTGGCACTCAAGGTCTTCCTGGGCAGTCCCACCCACTCAGCACGTCACCTTGGTGATCACGGCTCCCACACCTGCACCCTGGCACGGACCTCTCTATCCCCTGAGCTCTGCATCAGCAAGGCTGCCCCCTACACACCTCCCATGTGGCTGCTCTCCAGCCCCTCCGTCTCCGTGTATCCGAAGCCAGTTCCCTCCCACTCCAGGACACTGGTTTGGTTGAGGACACCACCCCAGTACCCAGGAACCATCTCTGACTTCACCTGCTGCTCTCACCACCCAATCACCACTAAGTCTCGTTTATCTAATCTTCTCAATCTGTCCCGAGTCTGTCTCCCTCCTCTCCATCCCTTAAAGCTACTCTCTCATAGATCACTGCAAGGGTCAGCAAGTTCCTTCCCAGCCTTCCACAGCCCTACAAGGATGACAGATCTAGAACACACGCCTGCCACGCCCCCTGCTCAACACCCCTCAGTATCTTTCCGCCACCAGCTTCCCAAAGACCAAGCGGGCGGCATGAGGTTCCCCCGAGAACCTGTGTAAAAGTACATCCCTCATCCTGCCCATGAAGATTTGGGCTGAATCCATCTGATGTGGCATCTGGAAAGCTGTGTTCCTCCCAAACAGCCCAGCGAATACTGATGTAAACCCGGGGTTGAGAACCACCTGCCCTTAGGAGGAAGCCCATTCTCCAAAGAACACCTACAGAATCCTTGAATTCGACTTACATCAACCTCTTCATCTTATCCCTGGCTGGTGCCTGCTTTGTACTTGACCCTCCTGTAACACCAGTGAGTTTGGCGATCCCTCCTCACTCTTCCCGTGCCCTGCCCCCTACACTCTGCTGGTCTTCTTCTGTGCTTTTGCTTGTACCTCAGGAGGCAGGATAGTGTTAAGAGTGAGGACTCTGAGGTCTAACAGCCTGGGGCCCCATCCTGGCTCTACTCCTCACCGGCTGTGTGACCCTCGGGTTCCTCTTCTGATGACGTAGGCAAAAACATACCCCTCTTAAGAGTTAAGAATTAAATGAGATGATGCACTGTCATCCCCTGGCTTGTCATCAACAACCAGTAAAGGGGTGCTCTTGTTAATCAACTCGATGCCCTCCTCCTCACCCACACCTCCACGCCTCTACCAGTGATCCTCTCAAGATCAGGAGAGCCTCTGACTGACCCTCTGTGTCCCCAGCACCTAGAACCATGTCGCCACCATGGTACCCAGGAAATGGCAGCTGAGGGAATGAGCCCTCCAGCACCATCAGCCCCATTCGACGAGAAAAAGTAAATGCTCTATTAAAAGAAATATCCTTCATTGTGAAGGCTGAATAAGGCTCAATTTTGAAAAGCATACAAGCTAGAAAATGTAAGACACTGAAAAGCATTCAACCCCCAGGGTGCTTGTGTGGCTCAGTTGGTTGAGCGTCCAACTCTTAATCTCGGCCTGGGTCCTGATCTCACGTTGCATGGGATGGAGCCCCATGTCAGGCTCTGCGCTGACAGCATGGACCTTGCTTGGGATTGGGATTCTCTCTCTCCCTCTCTCTCTGCCCCTTCCTCTCTCTCTCACTCTCTCTCTCTCAGAATGGGGAAACTTAAAAAAAAAAAAAAAGCATTCAGGGTACCTTTGTGGCTCAGTCAGTTAAGCATCTGATTTCAGTTCAGGTCATGATCTCATAGCTCATGAGTTCAAGCCCCGTATCGGGCTCTCTGCTGACAGCTCAGAGCCTGGAGCCTGCATTGGATTCTGTGTCTCCCTCTCTCTCTGCCCCTTCCCTACTCACACTCTGTCTCTCTCACTCTCAAAAATAAATAAGCACTCAGCCAGGCACCCTCACTGCCTTTGCCGGGCAGCTGAATCTCCCCGTCCCCCCTGCCCCTACTGTGCTGTACGAAACCCCATGCCGGTAGCCACAGCCAGCCTCTGTGTCCTGGGCAGCCTGCAAGCCCAGCCTGCCGGACTCTCCTCCGTAAAACCTCCGCATGTTCTACGCCACCGCCTCGCAGCAGCCTGAGCCCGGGAAGCACAGCCCTGCCTCCTCACCTTTGCTCACGCAAAACCTTCTCTCCTCATCTTATTTTTTTTTTAATGTTTTATTTATTTCTAGGAGAGAGAGAGAGACAGCGTGAGCAGGGGAGGGTCAGAGAGAGAAGGAGACACAGAATCTGAAACAGGCTCCAGTCTCTGAGCCGGCAGTCAGCACAGAGCCCGACGCGGGGCTTGAACCCACGAACCGCGAAATCATGACCTAAGCGAAAGTCAGACGCTTAACCGACTAAGCCACCCAGGCGCCCCTCTCCTCATCTTATTCTTGATCTCTGCCCCAAGTTCATACTCCCATGTTTTCCATGAAGCCTTCCTTGATCACCGTGGCCCACGATGAACTTCCCCCTTCCCATACTTCCCGTCCTTATTACTCATTCATTCTTTTATTCATTCAAACAATATGTACGTAACATCTACATGCTAGGCGCTGGGTATGGTGATGACTAAGAAAGAGATGAGCCTGTTTTTCTAGGAGCTTCTGCTGCCGTGGAGCTGAGCCTGTGTATACTGTTACTGGAATTTGTATCTGTGCAGCACCTGGCATCCCTTCCGGACAGTGGGCACCTTGAGAGCAGAATCCACACACAGGCCGGCTGGCGCCCCCGGTGGCCGACCCCATGCCTTTGGATGCCAAGGGCACAGCAGAAGCGTTTGGACAGCGTGATCCTTGGCGTCACCTGGAGGGCCGGGGACTCAGGGGGCTGGCAGCCTCTCAAATTTAGTGTTGCTGCTACTACTTACTCATCGAACAAGTATTAACTGAGTCCCTGCCATCTGCCGGCTGCCACCCGTGGGCTCAGAGCAGGCTCCCTCCTCCGGTTCAGCACTTCCCCTCACCTGGAGTCACCTGCCCCGTTCCACACAGTGACCAGAAGGCGCTTCTGTTCATCTTCCTCGTGGACAGGACTGCAAAGCAAACCCAGCGTGTTAGTAGGGCCGAGCTCCAGGCCAGACCCATGGGGCCGTCATACTGCAAAATTCACCGATAGCCTAAACACAACCATAAGGAGCTTGTTAAGGAAAGTCAAGTGCCAGTGGCGTGGGAGGTAGGTATTCAGTACACAGAAGAGTTTACATTACATTGTTTGGTACAAAAGGGAGGTCACCCGCAATACTTTAGAACGATTCCATTTTTTTGTAAACACCTACGCACACCCAGACATACACACCCACACAGACTCAAAGATCTGAAAAGAAAGAAGCCAAGGCGTGTGTGTCATGAGTCGTAGGGCTCAGGGCGTCTTCTCGTTTCTTTGTTTTCGCTGGTCTATTTTTCTACCATAGGCAAAATTACCTCGTGTCATTTGAGAAAAACAAAGAATCTTAATTTTCACCAACAAAATACAAAACGTCCATTTCCTTCCCAGGGTCCCAAAGCTCAGAGATGGGGGGAAGAAATAATAATAATAATAGTAATAGTAGTAGTAGTAATAATAATAATAATAAACAGCAATAGCTGATACTGTGTTACACTGTCTCTTTACACCTCAGCTCTCTGAGGAAGATACTATCATAAGCCCATTTTACAAACACAGAAGCTGAGGCTCAGAGACGTTAGCAAATTTCAAAAGGGGGAGGGATCCCTCAGCTTGGGAAATCTCTTCCACTGAAAGAGAAGGCTCGGCCCGAGGCACAGTGGGAAAATGCGACCTCTTCAGGGGCTGCCAGCCTCAGGTAGGGCACTCTGGTTGTGAGAACCAGCCACGTGACACCTTTTCACTGTGGCCCTCCCTGCTGGACCAGGAGCCAGGGACGCAAGGACACGCCTCCCGGGGGGCCCGGCTTGCCCCAGACTCTTACAAGAAGAAGCGCTCGTGGAAGACGGGCTCTCTGCAGTCTGGGATAGTCTGCGTCTTCTGGCGGCGGAGTCGATGGTTATCTTCCGGGACCAAAGAGATCTTAAATTGGGGAAAAGCAAGCGTTAGGTGATTACTGGTGGGCCACGGAATCACGTGAAGTCCCGCAGCCTACTCTGCACATCTCCCAAGTGCAAGGCTTCCCAGGTGTCCCTCTAAGCAGCCTCTGCAGAGGACAGAGTGGAGTCCTCGGTCAGACGCTGGGGAACAAGGCGAGGCCCCATTTGAGGCACTGGAGTCAGATGCGGGGACAGGGCCCCGCAGCCGGCAGCCGCAGTCCCAGCCTAGACGGGGTATCCCTTGAGCAGCTCTGCTCTCCCTCTAAGCGCGGGTCTCTCTCGTAAGTTCCCGGCAGCTGCTGGGTGCTCCCTTCCCCAGAGGCTCCAGGTTGGCCTCCGCTAAGGCCCCAAATCCACGTTCTCGCCCTCCAGCTGCTCCTGCCCTGCTCCTGCCCAAGTCTTTGCCCACAGGGGCCCTGACCAGGCTTCCGGGAGAATACGGAAGGGTGCATCACGGCCTGCAACTGGCATCCCAGCGGCACATTCTGGGAGGTGCCCAGCCTTTGGTTCTGGCTGGAAGTCGGCCCCGCGCCCTGCGGGACCTCTGTCTTCATTACGAGGGCCCCCCTTGGATGGGTCTTCTAGGCCTCAGAGACACTCGCTCCCTCCACCACCCAAACCTGCCATCTTGCCTCCGGTTTTGCCAGAGGCATTTGACATTTTGCTTTTCATGAGCGGGCTTGGGATTTTCTGTGGATGTCTGTCATCCACACACTCACCCTGCTCACCTATGTGGATGACCACCATCACCTATGAGATTCCAGCTCTTGCAGGAAGGCCTGGGGACCAAGCTGGGCCAAGGGAAGGGCCTCATCACTGGACCTAATCGATGCCCACTGACCAACTAATGAGGCAGTCGCTGCCACCTCAAATGGCCCCGGGCCCACAGATGTGATGAGACCCTGGGATTCTGACTAGTGACACAGCCCCTCACCGTCCCCCACGCCACCCACCCCACCCCCACCTCCAGCTCATCATATACCTTCACATAGGAATCACAGGTGCCAGGTTGTTTGCTCATCAGGCCTTTGGCTTCTATGACTAAACAGAGAATGAAAATGTTGGGGTGAGTGGCTGGGAAGGATTATCACTAGCCCCTCGCATGGATACCAACCCCTCTCTGGTCTGGTCCGTTCCCACCCTCTCCCACCCGCAGGCAGCACCCTCACTGAGACCTGCCACTGAGACGTGGCAGGATGTATTTGATTCCTTGAATCTCACAGCTGAAAGAGAACATAAAAATTATTGAATTTAACCCCTCATCTAATGGGACAGAGGAGACTGTATGGGGACCCAGAGACTGCAAGAAACTTGCCCAAAGTCACAGAGCAATCAGAATGATAGGAATCACAGCACTGGGTTCAGATCCATATCTCTCGACTCCCAGTGCTCCTACCTCCACAGGAGACTGCCTCCCGGGATGGAGGGGCCAGGCTGGTCTGCTGACCCTGTCCCGTCATCTGCGCTGTGGCTGGTGGACAGTATAGCACAGCAGGCAAATGCCTGGGTCCAGAGACAGCCTGTGGCCCTGGGTCCACAAAACAGCACGGATACCAGCTCACCACTTATGCGACACAAGAGCCTGAGCAAGTTGCTTTGTCTCTCTGCAACTGAATTTGCGATTTTTAAAAATGTTTTTTAAGTTTACTTATTTACTTTGAGCGAGAAAGAGCAAGCGAGCAGGGGAGAGGCGGGGTGGGGAGGGGAGAGGGAGAGAGAGAGAGGGAAATCCCTAGCAGGTTCTGTGCTGTCAGCAGAGCCTGATGCGGGGCTCGAACTCAGGAATCGTGAGATCATGACCTGAGCCGAAACCGAGAGTCGGACACTCAACCGACTGGGCCACACAGGCGCCACTGAATTTGCTATTTTTTAATGGAGGAGTGATAATAATAGGTTAGTGATCACAGCATCCACTTCACGCGGTGGTGGTAGTGGTTACACGCGAGAATGTATCTAAAGTGCTTAATAGAGTGGCTGGCAAGCAAGTAACTGCTCGAGGAAGGTTTGCTAAAGGGAAGAATCATACTAAATAAAGACCAGGGCCAGATGGGAGGCGAAGGGCAAGCCTCATCTCGAAAGCGAGCCCAGCCCATTTGCCTGAGGTCTGCAGAAATCAGGCAGCAGCTCTGACAGAAGCGGAGCCTCTCTGCTGTTCTCCTCCCTGTTCGGTTTGGGCTGGGCCCTAAGGTTTGGCTCGGACGGGGCTCCCATCATCTGAGGCATGAAGCGTACGAGGCCAAAGGAGAGAGAGGAACGGGCTGGGAGGGATGAAGAGCTCTAAGACTGGGGTGAAGCCAAAGCAAACCGTGCAGGACAAATGAAGTGGCGGAGGCCAAGATGCATTTTGCAAAATCTGTTTGCACAGCTGGAGTCGGGCTCTGGCTGGCAAAGAACCTCCCTCTGCTGGCCGTTGGGAACTTCACCTTGGGCCCCCCCGCAAGGCCAGGACTGGAGAACCTCGGGCGCCGGCCGGTCTACTCCGCCTGGTGTCCTAGCTACTGCTCTTGTGTGCATCCTTCCCCTCGCGGGCGTGGCCCTGGGGGGGCAGGCTCCCAGCCTGAGGGACCTCCGGGCCTCCCTGGCCCCCAGAGCACGTGGGACGGATGTGGCCACCTGCCCCACTGCACTCCCTGGACACGCCAGAGTGACACAGCGTAGTCAGGGCTGCGCTAAGGACACAGAGGGAGAGACGACATACTCAGGTGGATCAGGGGGTGATGCCTGGAGGGGAAAGAAATGAAGCAAAATGAGCCTTCCTTCCTGAGTCTTAATGATGAGGAAGGCAGGCATGTATCTTGCAAAATCAGAGGGAGGGAGAGTTTGTTTTCAAAAGAAATTCGAAAAGAAGGCAGGCTCTTCCAGACACAAGAAGCAGTGGGTGCAAAGGCACAGAGGCACGAGCAAGCGTGATGCCCTCCTGGGGGACATAACGGGGAGGGGGGAGGGGAGTTTTAACAGCAAGAGCCAGGAAGGCTGGAGAGACAGGCAGGGCCTCCTGGGCTAAGCAGACGAGCCCAGGCAGCAAAGGCCATGGCAGAAGTTCGGTGACTACTTGTGTGCTGGATGGAAGGACGAACAAATGGGTAAGTGGATAAGTGGACAGGATGGTGTAAAATCCTCTGCGTGGCACTTAGGGCCTTCTTGGCCTGGCCCCATACTCACTGTGCAGCAGCAGAACCCGGTGCTGGGCATCAATCGACAGCTTCAGCTGACCTAAGGAAACAACAACAGAAACAACTTCACCTCGTCTCCTTGTTGGGCGAGAAATGGGGTACCGGCGACGGGAATGCTCTTTTGTTCATGGGAAGCGATGCGAAGATCCATTCAGTCTTTGCGTCGGAAGGGAGCTCAGAAGCCACTCAGTTCAGCCTCCTCACAACATCGGAAGTCCCTTCTGCAGTACGTCCAGCAGGGGTTCTCCTGCCCAGGCTAACACCACTCTGGTGTTGGGGAGCTCACTACTTTACAAGGAAGCCGAGGCCAATGCTGGAGAGTTCTTGCCGTTGGGTCAGTTGGAAAAATTGCTGCATCCACATCATCACAGGCTTAGATTGGAGAGTTAGGGATCCTGGGCCTTGGTTAGGTCCATGGGGGATCAAGGGGTAAAGGGGGAGGTCAGGGAGAGCCCTCCACTGTGACAGGTAGCTGTGTTCTAGAAGGTCAATAACAACACAAGGACAAGGAACAAATAATTTGGGGGAAAAGCAAAAGAAAAGAGATCAGGTGTGGGCAGAGAGTTCCTTCAGACTCGATGCTATCACCCTCAATCATTCCACAGAACCCTGATCTCCCTAAAGAAAAACTGAGGAGGTTTTCTGTGACCTTGGCATAGAGCTATGCTACTCAGAGGGTGGTCTGAGAACCACCAGCATCAGAAGCATCTGGATGACAGGCAGAAATGCAGAATCTCAGGGCACCTGGGTGGCTCAGTCGGTTAAGTGTCTGACTCTTGACTTGGGCTCAGGTCATGATCTCAGGGTTCATGGGATCGAGTCCCATGTCGGGCTCTGTGCTGATAGTGTGGAGCCTGCTTGGGAATCTCTCTCTCTCTCTCTCTCTCTCTCTCTGCCCTCCCCCAAAATAAATAAACATTTAAAAAAATGCAGAATCTTAGGCCCCACCCCAGGCATAGTGAGTCAGGATCTGTAATTTAACAAGATAACTCTGACTCCATATAATTTTTAAATGTCCATTACAATCAGAGATATAAGCAAGGCCATGGGACAATACCATAGGAAAATAGACACAGGTCATGATCTGGAAATTCACAGAAGACAAAACGGCCAATAAACACACGGAAGATGCTCAGTCCCAGAGATCTGGGACATGCAAATTAACAAAACACCCTCTCCCATCAATCTGCTCGGCAGGTCATTTAAAAGACAGATAATGTTGGGGCGCCTGGCTAGTTCAGCTGGTGGAGCATGAGACTCTTGATCTCGGGGTTGAGTTCGAATCCCGTGTTGGGTATAGAGATTACTTAAAAATAAAATCCTTTTTTAAAAAAAAATTTTTTTATCTCTTTTTTTTTCAGAGACAGAGAGAGCATGAGTGAGAGGGTGACAAGACCAAAGGTGTGTGTATGTGTGTGTGTGTGTGTGTGTGTGTGAGAGTGAGAGAGAGAGAGAGAGAGAGAAAGAGAGAGACAGAATCTTAAATAGGCTCCACACTCAGCACTGAGCCTGACATGGAGCTCCATCCCACAACCCTGGGATCATGACCTGAGTGAAACCAAGAGTCCAGATGCTCAACCAACAGAGCCATCCAGGCACCCCCAAAACAAAATCTTTTTTTTTAATTAAATAAAAAAATAAAAGACAGATAATGTCAAAAGTTGGTTAAAAATGTAAGAAAACAGGTGGTCTCATACCCTGTTGGAAGTGTAGACGGAGGGTAATTTCTGGCAGTGTCTGCTGGACTTTAATGGTTCATGTCCTTCAGCCTAGAATTCTACTTCCGGGTAACTATCACAGACAAAAACACACACACGAGCCCAAGGCTGGTGCTCTTGCACTGTTTAAAATAAGGACAAATTGGAAACACCTGAAATGTCCGTGAGTATGAAAATGGTTAAATGAGCCATGTCTAGCTGTGCTATAGAATAGGAGGGGCTGTTATAAAAAAAATGGGGGGGTCCCGTATTTCCCAGCATGGGAACATTGTGATAAGTTTCTAAGAGGAAAAGCAAATTGCAGAACAGTACAGATGGCATAGGTGTGTGTGTTGTGTGTGTGTGTTTGTGTTTCTGAAAGAATGCCAAATGAAAAACAGGGATCACCTCTAGGGAGGAGACAGAATTGGAGGGAGAAAAGTCAAGAGGAATTTAAATCTGGGGTGCCTGAGGGGCTGAGTCAGTTAAGTGTCTGACTTCAGCTTAGGTCATGATCTCATGGTTCATGGGTTCGAGCCCCATGTCGGGCTCTGTGCTGACAGCTCAGAGCCTGGAGCTGCTTCAGATTCTGTGTTTCCCTCTCTCTCTGCCCCTCCCCCACTCATGCTCTGTCTCTGCCTCTCAAAAATGTATAAATGTTAAAAAAAAATTTTAATAAATTAATTAAAAGGGGAATTTAAATCTATCACTATTTTGCTTCAACAATACAAATTATATGAACTGTTGCACTTCTATAATTAAAAATAAGAAGAGGGAACAAAGAGAGAAGGGAAGGTGGGAAGAGGAGAAGGGAGGGAGAGAGGAAGGGAGGGGAGAAATGTGAACGTAGCAGACGGGCCAGGGCTGGAAAGCAGGTGAAGAACCAGGAGCCGGTACCCACCCACCCCCCCACACCTGGCATTTTAAATTTTTTTTAAAGACAATATAAAAGCAAAAGAAAACATCCAGTCATCCTCATGGATGCCCAAGGGCCCTTTAGCGTGGGCTGAGGAGAGAAGCACCATTGAGGACTCCTCCTCAATGACATGCTTAACATTTTCCCCAGTCCAGTAGATTCTTCCTAGAACCTCGAGAAGGCACTGAACTCAATCCACCTGGTGGACACACACTGGGGAGGCCAGGAGGATTCGGCAGGGCCTCCCAGTCTGCAGCAAGTCCACACATCAACCAGGAAGTCCTTGAATCCATGACAACCCTGTCGCACAGTCGTCGGCCTCTGCTTGATCCCCTCTCGTAATGGGGAGCTCGCTTCCTGCAATGGGAGCTCATTTTCCTTTGCAATAACTCTGCCAGTTCAATGCTCCATCTCATGTTGAGCCAGAAGTGCCCTCACAGTAACTGTCATCACCCAGCCGCGGTTCGGCTGTCAATCTCTGGGCTCTCTCCTCTAGATCTAGAGCCTAAGGCCCTTCCACTGCTCTTCGTGGCACAGCGACGCCCCCTCAACATCCCAACTGCTCATCTCCGGACACGCCCGTGACACCGGGGCTGTGGCTGGGGCTTGGGCTTCGCTGCCAGCTGGAGGAAGGCCAGGCAGGGTTCAGAAAACAGAAAGAAGGGAAATTGTGCAGCAGGCCCCCAACCACTGCGACCTGGAAGCCACTTGCTCCTCGCACTTTGGGGTGCTGAAACCACAAGCCCAAGCAATCCAGGCTCCGGCAAATCCTTGACCAGCTCTGTCACCCGTCAGAAATTTCTGCTTCTCTCCTGCCCAGGACACGGATCTCAGAAGCTCAGAGACCTGCCCCCGTTCCAGCCCTTACTTAGCCTCCTCTCTCTGCTGGCCACATTGTCCTCGGCTGTGAGGCAGAGCTAATAACAGGGATTACTGTGCTCACCAGGCTGTGTGCGGATCAGATACTGCTGGAGGGTGAGGAGGTGAGAGGCGCCAAGAGAATCCATGGTGTTATTAGCTCAAGATCTGAGCAATTACCACTTTGGGGCTCTCTGGGGCTGAGAATTCTCTGAAACGGGGCCGGACCCAGTGTGGGGTGGAAGGTTTTGGAACAGGTTTTGGAACGGCCAGCAGTCATAGATCAGATCTCATTACCCCAACACCAAACATGTTTTCTGAAACGATTACCAGTGCAAAGCCAGCTTTGGCCCGCACACACTTGGCTTTCTGGAGTTGTAAGAATCACTGAGCTGCACACCACCATCACCTACCGACGACCCGCTCGCAGAAACCAGGATGGAGAACTCTCCTAACACAGGTGCTCACTAAGCCCGTTTGACAAATGCTGGCCAGGCACCTGCAGCCCCCCACCCCCACCCCGAGTCAGGAAGATATGAATGGCCCAGTGATCGCCCCCAGGGAACTCACAGCCCAGTGGCTAGGGAAAGGGCACGGGCAAGGCCAAAAGTGGAGCTGGAGCAGGGGACAGGCCTGGAGCAAAGTCTGACTCGGACATCAGAGGAGTCCATGTGGCTCCCCTTCCAGATCTTGCCATGCAGGTCTCCTCGGGGAGGATCCACTAGCTCTGGACCCTGTTAAGCAGAGAAGCCAAGCCCAGCAGACTGGGCGCAGGCCACCAGCATGGGACACACCCTCCCCCAGCCCATCCTTGGACTCACAGATAAGGGCAACATCAAGAATGAGATACCCCCTGGGGCGCCTGGGTGGCTTAGTCGTTAGGCGTCCGACTTTCACTTAGGTCACGATCTCGCGGTTTGTGGGTTCGGGCCCCGCGTCGGGCTCTGTGCTGACTGCCAGCTCAGAGCCTGGAGTCTGTTTCAGTCTGTGACTCCCTCTCTCTCTCTCTCTGACCCTCCTCTGCTCACGCTGTCTCTCTCTCTCTCTCTCTCTCCTAGAAATAAATAAAACATTAAAAAAAAAAAAAGAATGAGATACCCCCTCCCCCACTTGGCCATGCCTGTCCCCTCTGCGTCTCCCCTTAGCCCATTCCATCAAATGATTGGGTCTCGGGGGCCCTGAAGTCCTCTTACCCAGCCTCCTTACCTGGAAGCCAGAACAGTCATGCCCCTATACGGAAGGTGACTTGCCCTGGGCAAGAGTAACCAGGGTAAGGCAAGCCAGGATGGGAGAGCAAAATCTGCCCCAGCTCCAGAACTCCTGCCTGTATACCAAGCTGGTCTTCTGGAACCATTAGAGTGTACCACTGCATCCATCAATGCAACCCTGGGGTTCAGGGGCAGAGAGCCATCAGGCACAGGACAAGGTGCCACAGCTTTGCTTGAGAAGCCAAGGGGAAGCCAAAAGGAGGGCAAGGCTCAAAGAAATGTCCCCAGGTCTAAAGAAATAAACCACTGGGTGTGGGGTGTGTCTAGGTGGCTCTGTCGGTCAAGTATCTGACTTCGGCTC